TTTATAAAAAGATATGTCGATTATATAAAAAAAAATTTATATAAAATTTAGAATAAAATTAATTATATTAATAATTTTAAAATAAAATTTTTTATTATTTAATAATATATAAATGAAAAAGTTTTTAATTTTGAATTAATATTAAATAAATTATTACAAAGCATTTGAATAATTATAGAGCTAAAAAAATAAAAAATTTTTTAAGATCATAATATATTGTGTGTTACAGTAACACAACATTTCGAAGCAATTTTAATCAACATTCATATCAATGCGGTTAAAATGGAAACCACAAAATATTTTCCGTCTGATTCACTGGAACACATTACGGTTAATATTTGTTTAATTGAAACGATGGAATTATATTTCCTAATTTATGAAATTATTCAATCATATAAAACTGAGATCATCATCTACTTTGTTGTCAGTGATATTATTACTTTTTTAGAAAAAATGAAAAAAATCATGAAGTTTCATATAAAAATTATTTTTTATATTAAATAAAAATTAAAATGTAATCTATAATAATTAGAAATATTACAGTTTATCAGATCATAATTATTATAAAAAAATATTATTTAAAGAAATTGCATGATAAGTTGTAAAATAAAAATTAATAAATATTTCTAATATTAGTTAAATTTTTATGGAAAATTAAAATTAATAATAAAATAATACTATTAAATAAGTTATATAATCTCATATAATATTTATTTGGGAGGAACGAATTATTTTAAATTATTATTTAATTTATAAATAATAAGAATGATAATCTACACTGGGGATTGACTTTGCAATAACTATGTAAGGGAAGAACAGGTCGATGATACGCGAAATATGAGAAAATTACAGTCAGACAAAAAGGTGGGTAGTACGCGTAGGTAGATTGAGGGTGTGCCTTCAACACACGACACATCAAATAATTCTAACCACGCCCTTCCTTCCGCATTCCATTTTTCTATTAATTTTGGAAACCGAATCCTTAAATAAATAAAAATTTAAAAATAAAACACATACATCATATGTTTTCCGTTTAAATTCCATTTAAAGGGAAAAAGTAAATTAATTTTTTTTAATTACTCAAGCTTATATATTTTGAGGTATGATTTGATGTATGTAATACATAATATATTAATATTTATATTTAATATAAATACATATTTAATTTAATTTATGCATCTAGAAAAAATAAAATATAATTTATGAAAAAAATAATTTAAATATTGATATTTAATTCATATTTTATTATTCTATTATAAATAGTAAATTGTATATAAATTGTATACTGTATTTTGAATGATGAAAAAAAAACTGATTTAATTTTAATTTGTTTTATATAATTTCAATAAAATGAAAATAGAAATTTAAATAAATAAAATAATTTAATATAATAAATTTTTAAATCTTATATTTTTTAATTTTATAAATTTTATAAAATATATAGAATTTTTTTTCAGAAAACGAAAAAAATTCAGAAATATGAACAAAATATTGTTTCTGAATTTTGATAATAAAATACAATTTTTTATTTATATATATTCTTATTAATTATTTTTTTACGTATACAATTTTACCTATAAATTATTTTCCTTAATATTATTCTTACATTCAAAATTTATAAGAATATTTATTAATTGATTTATCAATATTTCTAAAATCGATTAAAATATCGATCAATCATACAGTTACAAAATTGTTATTTATAAATAAATAAATTAAATTAATGATAAAAAATAATAATTAAAATGTTTATTTCTGTTACAAAATGTTATCCCGCTCTGGCTCAAAGATTCAATTATTTACCTTTCTCCTTCGCAATGAGGTAAGACTTTTATGTAAATAGGTTAGAGACTCGCAAATAAAGTAGCGATGACATAATCTAACTGTTCGTGAATCTGTGTGTTTGTGTTAAGCTTTCAAAGGCGCGTAATTAAAAACTACAGTACATCGTTTTTTATGACACGATTGTCTTATGTAAAAAAATGCATTTTAACAATGACATACATTGAAAATTTATCTTTACAATATATATATGTATACGTATCTCGATCAAAAATAATTTTTTTTATGAATATTTTTAATCATTATATAGCATTTTTTTTCATAAGTGAACTTAAAATTTTATGAATTTAAAAACGAATGTTATATATAATCTCTAATTATAATAATATATAACAAATAAAAAATTTAATAAGAAAACATATAATTTTTAAAAATTATTAGCATAGAATTAATTTTAATGTTTATTTTTATTATTTTTCGGAACTTTAAGTTTAAATATTAGTTAAATTTAGTTTAAATATTAATATTATTTAATATTAATTATGATAAGTTATTAAAAAAATATTATAATAAAGTTTGACAAGAATTTAATTCTTACTTTTCTCTTGCAATAAAATGAAATAATGCCAGTTCCTGCTAGATTATCAATGCTCATCCTGTTTCATACTAGCATGAATTCACATGGCTCGTGCCATAAATTAATCGCATTCATAGTATTTTCTATTAATTACTCATAACTATTTGATAAAATTTTCGAATGCGAAATATATACAAAAATCATTTTATTTTTATTAAAAAATATTCTATTTAAATTATTTTACACTTAATGCAATTCTTATAATTATAAGTTTAAAACAACAATGATAAAGTCTTTGATTTCCCGTATTGATAAAGATTGTGATAACGTTATCAAACCATGATCCTTATCATTAAATATTTCGATGAAATTCCATTAATTATATCAAATTTAGTATAACTAAAATACAATGATCATAATATATAAACTATTAAAAAATAAAAATATTTAATTATTTATAGTACAATTCATTTACAATTTAATGCAATTTAAAATGCAATTTGATAATATAGAGCGAGCCATAACTTTAATGTTTATGATTTATGATTTTTTTACTATAAAAAAATAATTTCTCTGGTCGATATAAATGGAAACAATTTTTTCAAGTGTAATTTTCTTCTTCTGTGATTTAATATAATTAAAAAAATTAATTAATTTTTTGTTTGAATTTGCATATGTAACATATTTCGTCATATAATATATTATTGCTATTAGATTCACATTGCTCTTTAGATTCTTTTCTAATTTCAAGATAAATTGTTATTTTTACGTAATTTAACAAGTAAAAGCTGAGAGAAACGAAAAAAATCATAAAAGCGAATTATAACAAAATGTAACATAATTTCCAACTGACTGCACGCATATTTATAAAATTATATTATATTTAAAATATGTATATTAAAATCAAACTTTTTTCGAAAATTTTACAAAATAATAATTTTTCAAATTTTTCTAACGAATCTTCTTTTTTAATTGAAACATAATTTTTTTCAATCTATTATTAATTCAATCTATTCTCTCATTCTAATGAAAAATATATATATATATATATATATATATATATATATATATATATA